ATTGTAGGCTTATTGCAACTTGCAAGTAAAATGCAAGTACTGTCACAGCTCGGCGCACGCCGCAAGGCACCTCGGCGACATCATGAAGATCGCGTAGAATCTGTTAGGATATGCCAAATGTATAGTTCCATGTAAAGATTATCTCTTACCGATCGGACTCTGACCTGATCGGCATGTAACCCTACCCCCGGGCTATATAAGGCGGATAGGGGACCCCCTCAAAACACACGCAATCATATACGATAGCCAATATAAACCGACGGGACACATGATTAGGGTATTACGTCGAGCTGACGGTCTGAACCTATCTAAATCTTGTGTCTTGTCACCATCTCGCTCCTGATCTCGCTCACCTCTACGACAAATCTACCATCGCGGGTACACCCCTCGGTGGACTGTCGAGCACATTTAGTCGACAGTTGGCGCGCCAGGTAGGGGTGTGCACTTGATCCCATGGCGGGCCAGATGATACATTTTCCAAGCTCTCCGTTCGCTCCCGGGTCTGGCCAAACCTTCACGGTCGGTTCCATCACCTGGGTTGTCAACGCCAACGGCGACGGGGAGGTCGTCTAGCCGGTGCAGGACAACCCCGCGCCGGCAGCTCTGTCATCTGCGTCAGTAGATCCAATCTCGGGATCTCTCCCGGGTTCGTCTTTTTCTCCGGCAACTCGCCCTTTGGCGCCACGCCAGCCGAGGAAGCCATCCAGCAGGATGACTTGATCGCGTCTATAGATCGGATTGACGAGAAGCTCACCGGATGCTTGTCGCTCGTGGAATCGATCCAAGATCGGTCTCTTTACGACGACGAGTACCCTCCGTTCCAGATGGTTCGCCCTAAGCGCTCCACTTGGTCACGCCGTCCGAGATGGCAGGATGTAGATCTGACCATCATGGCTTCTCCACGAGGGCGCACCGTGCAGTGCCGGCCGCTTTCTAGATCCCATCGGCCCAGGGCTGGTCGGCATGCTCCAACGCGGGGTCCCATGATGGCTCACCCTTACGGGCTGGCCAACGTGGCCGCTTCATATCAAGAGGCCCTACGTGATCTCTACGCCGACCAGATCGGCAACATCCACCCGCTCACCGAGCTCGTTTTACCGAGCGCCGACCAGTTTGCACCAGCTGTCAACATGGTGCAGATTCGTCAGCTCGATGATGATTCCCTGCTCCCGATCTTGGAGGCAGATCCGGGGGCGGAGTCGGAAGGCTCCACCAAAACCGTCACCGAAACCATCACCGACCTCATCGCTAGCTCTCCATCCCCGCCTAGATGCTTTCTCATGAAAATCTTCATGATCAGTGCCGACAGTGCTGCTCACAATGGGGAGACTGACGCCCAGCGCGCCGCGCAAGAGGAAAGAAACACCGATCGTGCTCGGCGCCGCGTAGAAGCAAACGCCGCCGCAGTCGCAGCAAACGCCAATCCTGGTGCAGCTGCCGGTGACGCCGCCGCCCATAATCAGGGAGGGCACCGTGTCGCCCGCAACATCAATGAGGAATTCATCCAAGTTGATGGGCATGAGGTCCTACCGACACCAAGCGCCAACCTCGCCATCGCCATGAACGAGCTAGGCAGGCTCGCGCCGTCACCAGAGCTTGCCAAAGCCACCGCCATGCTCAAAGCGGCCGTGGTTCAGGTTAACGAAAATCGCCAGAATCAAGCGCCATCCCACTCCACGTCTTCAAACCGATCCGCTGGCCCACGCAGGGCCCGATCTCAGCGACCTGGTGGAAGTCGTTTCCAGGCAGGCGACCCTTATCTCCAAGGGGGATCGAGGGCAATTACATTGTCAATCCCTAGAATGGCCGCAGTACGCCAACCCCAACGCCAACCAGGAGGTTGAACAACCCACTGGTGATCTACGACAGCATCTCAACAATCGTCATGATGTTCGTCGCCATATCGATAATCGGCGCAACTCGCGCCACGTGGAAGAGATCATTCGCCGCCAGCAGTACGATGAAGCATGGGGCATACGACAAATCTACCATCGCGGGTATACCCCTCGGTGGACTTGCCGAGCACATTTGGTCGACATCAACCCTCGCTTTTAACCACTTGTGCATAATTAACTTTCAGCAACAGATAGATAGTGTTTGCTCCTAAGTATAAATGTATAATAATGTTGCAACCATCTTCTGTCCTCCAAATAAGCCTCATAAGTTGCCATCAACAACGAGCACTTTCCATTGCATCATCTATAAGTTCCTTATAATTTACAATCTAAAAACAAAACGGTTGCTTTCTAGGTAGGTCATAACTCGTGTCTTTGTGGCATCATTAAGTTCCACTCCCTTGAAGTCTTAACAAGTGTGGCATGTTATCTTCTGCCCGCCAAAGGGCGCCTAGCTCAAACGGTTAGGTGACCCAGTGGCACTCCTCAGGTCCTGGGTTCGACTCCCCGTGGGAGCGAATTTCAGGCTGAGGTTAAAAAAATCCCCTCGTCCGTCCCCATAACCAAAGCACTGGGGACACCGGTCCAATTCTCACTTGGGCGACGGAAAGCCACCGTGTAAGGGTGGGGGCGGGGGGTTCGGGGTTTTCTCGGCCGGGTGAGAAGGTCCTTCTTCTTATTTGTAATGCTGCGGGGGCAGTCTTAAACACCCCTCCCCAGTCGATTTTTTTTTTGTTATCTTCTGCCCTAGACCATTACAGGCAATAACATTGTAACTTAGGCCTCTATATAGCCTTGTAGGTGTAGGACGCCATTCTTTTATCTGACCTGCTCAATCAGTTATCCTATGAATTCAGTTATTAAGGTTGATATCACGTTTCTTACAGTAGCGCTGTCAAAATTGATCAATATTGCTCAATTACATCACTACCGGAGACCGGCTCTTTGCCGAGTGCCAGGTGGTTTGCCGAGTGTTGTTTTTCGGGCACTCGGCAAAGCGGCCTTTGCCGAGTGTTTTTTTTTGACACTCGACAAAGAGGCTCTTTGCCGAGTGTTTTTTTCGGACACTCGGCAAAGAACCTCTTTGCCGAGTGTTATTTTTTTGACACTCGGCAAAGAAAATTTCAAAGCATATTTTGAAGCAGTAAATTAATTCAAATGAAAAAGTTTTCAACTACAAAATTGTATAACTCATCAAGATGTATAATGTTTGTTTTGGTCTTTTCTTCATATAACAAAGTGAAAGTAAATTTGTTTATAAATCTAACATCTCTCTCTTGTAGTTTATGAAACTACAAGAAAGATATATAAGATTTGTGAACAATGTTAGAACGACCATGTCGGATGAACAGATGATCAAACAACCAAAATAAACTTTGTAGATCTCGAAAAGTTATGAAACTTTGGAATTGACAACTTTTTGATTTGAAATCATCTTGTCATGCAAAACTGTGTTTGAATTTCAAAATTTAAAAATTCAAATTTTATAAACGACCTCGGATGGGAAAACTTCCTAAACTAAAAGTGTAGATCTCGAAAAGTTATGAAACTTTGTAGTTTACAACTTTTTTATTTGAATTCGTTTAGGGCCTCAAACATGCAATTTACACTTGGCAAAAAACTTTTTTGGGTTGAAAGTGTCCGAAAGTGTCAAATTTTTTGACACTTAAGGCAAAGAAGAACCTCTTTGCCGAAAGTGTTATTTTTTACACTTTCGCAAAGAAAAAATTTCAAAGCATATTTTAAAGCAGTAAATTAATTCAAATGAAAAAGTTTTCAACTACAAAGTTGTATAACTCATCAAGATTTACAATGTTTGTTTTGGTCTTTTCTTCATACGACAGTGAAAATAAATTTGTTCACAAATCTAACATATCTCTCTTGTAGTTTATGAAACTACAAGAGAGATATATAAGATTTGTGAACAATGTTAGAACGACCATGTCGGATGAATAGATGACCAAACAACCAAAATAAACTTTGTAGATCTCGAAAAGTTATAAAACTTTGTAATTGGCAACTTTTTGATTTGAAAACATCTTGTCATGCAAAACTGCATTTGAATTTCAAAATTTTAAAATTCGAACTTTTCAAACGATCTCGGATGAAAAAACAACCAAATTAAACTCTGTAGATCTCGAAAAGTTATGAAACATTGTAGTAGACAACTTTTTGATTTGAAAACATCTTCATGCGAAACTGCGTTTGAATTTCAAAATTTTAAAATTCAAATTTTATAAACGACCTCGGATGAAAAAACTTACTAAACTAAAAGTGTAGATCTCGAAAAGTTATGAAACTTTGTAGTTTATAACTTTTTTATTTGAATTCGTTTAGGGCCTCAAACATGCAATTTACACTCGGTTTAGTATAATATATTGGGAACTAAAATGGAATGCAGACACAAGTGAGAGTGTGGTGTAGTGGTAGAGGAGGTACTTGCACAAAAGATGGAGGTCTCGGGTTCGAATCGCGTCACTTTGTACATAGCACACAGAATAGCCATGAAATTCACGTGAAAAATGTCGGAGATGGGTGGGCGCTACCATCCGGTGGGGGGCCTCCATCGATAAAAAAATTCCATTTTTTGGGTAAAAATTCCCATTTTTTTTAGTTTTTTCGTTTCAACTTTGCCGATTGTCGGCACTTTTCGCAAAGACTTTTACCGTGTGCAAACAAAGACACTTTCGGCAAGACGCCTTTGCCGATAAAGGTTTATTTGATATGTGGGACCATACAAGATTGTGGAACGAAAGGCGACACTCGGCAAAAGCCTTTGCTAAGTGCAAATTTTATTTCTATAAGAGTGCCCTGCACTTCGGCAAAGCCACCGATTCCCGTGAGTGCATGGTCCTCCTGTTTATATATTCGGCCTGTTCAACATTGTTGGTTTCACCAGCCCAAACCCACCCAACAAAATGAGTTTTTTTCCTCACAAAAAACCAAAGACCACAAATTGAAACAAACCAAAGACCAAAGACCAACCAACCAAGTGAACATGCCCATTATTATTGACTATTGGTACCCTGTCCAGAAGTGCATGCTCTTTTGGACAGCACACTGTTGTATATTAAAACATAATCCTATCCATCGTAGTTGGCACAAATGCAAAGAAACCAGTAAGTTGGGCACATGCCTGATTTTTCAGATTTTGTAGTGTCTATCTAATCAGGTCTGGTGACTGGCAGTGTTTTGTAAGCTTCCATTTGTCTTTATTATAGTTGTGATGCTGAACTTCTCTTCTATGCTTTTGCATGCAGGACATCTGGCGTCATATACATTCGCTGATGCCAATGCGAGATGCTGCCCGAGCTGTGTGTGTCTCTCATGCTTTTCTACGATCCTGGAGATGCCATCCCAACCTCACTTTCTGTGGTACAACATTGGGTATGAATAAAAAGGCTTGTGCAAATGATGAAACTGCCAGAGATTTTTCTAGCAAAGTTGACCACATCCTGAAAAAACACTCGGGCATTGGTGTCAAGAAACTTGTGATTAACATGTGTGGATATTATGCTGCCAACGATTCTTGTTATCTCAACAGTTTGCTTCTGACTGCTGTTACACCAGGAATTGAAGAACTTTTACTTATACTGCCAATGAGGGCAACATACAATTTCCCATGCTCACTTTTGTCTAATGGGAGTGGTGACTCAATTTGGTATCTCAAACTTGGCGGTTGCTCCTTGCGACCCAAAGCTGAACTTCCTTGGTTAAAAAGCTTGACAAAAGTGCAGCTTAATGCTGTCTCTTTTACTGGGGATGAGTTAGGGTGCCTTCTATGCAATTCTTTTGCTTTGGAGCGGTTGGTAATCAGGTATTGTGGTGAGATAGTTTGCTTGAAGATCCCTTGTATGCTGCGGCAGCTCAGGCACCTAGAGGTTATTTGCTGTGGCAGTCTGCAAGTGATAGACAACAAAGCTCCAAATATATCCAGCTTCTTCTACGCCGGAGATCGGGATCATATTCAACTGTCACTTGGAGAAGCATTGAAAGTGGAGTACATACGCTTGATCTTCTCGGGTGCACTTCATTATGCTTGTGTTGCACTTCCATCCATCATGCCAAACCTTAAAATTGCTAGTATACTTTCGACAAGTGAGGTATACTCTTAAAAGATTTAACTGGGCTAGTGATGTGCATATCATGAATCCTACCTCAAGCAGTCTTACCTTGGAGTATGTATAACTAACCTAACATCTTTATGCAGATGGTCAATACGCCAATGCTGCACAGCAAGTTTCTCCACCTCAAGAAGCTAAGTATTGCTCTTACCGCACGGACCTTTACTCCGGCCTGTGATTATTTTTCTCTAGTTTCCTTTCTTGATGCTTGCCCCTCCTTGGAGACACTGGTCTTGGATGTAAGTTGCTGTTCATATTTCTGTGATTTTAATAGCTATCACAGTGGAAACAGTACTACAATTATTTTTTACTTTCTCATCTTAGGTAGGCCAGGAGGAAATGGAGCATGTCTCTGTATTCACAGATCCCTCAGATCTGAGGAAGATGCAAGGACACCAGCATCACAAGATGAAGAGAGTGAAGATCCTAGGATTCACGTCTGCAAAGAGTCTTGTTGAGCTTACTTGCCATTTTCTTGAGAGCATAGCGTCATTGAACACCTTACGCTGGAGGCCTATCAGAGCTGTGCTAGGTGTTTTGTGCCTGCTCACAATAGTCGCACGTGCTCCCCACTGCCCGTTGATGTTCTCAGGGAAGCTCAACGAGGACTCTTGGCTATCAGGACATACATTGAGCCTAAAGTTCCTTCCATGGTAAAGCTACATGTCGTTGAGCCTTGCCGCCGATGCCATGCTGTTGTTGAACTTTAGATGCGTAACTCATCATTACTCAAGGTTTTATTGTCTAGTCTTTGGAAGTGTCATTGTTTCTTCAAGCTATCAGAAGTGTCCATTTTGTAGCACTAGTACTTGAGAGCGCTTTTGCTGCGGTTTCCAGTTAACTGTGTCGTTTAAGTCTTTGGGTTGGGATGTGCTGAAACTATATGCTGCTATAACTCAATAAATAGCAGGGAACCTCCTATTAATAACTTCTGCTATGTTCTTCTGAAAATGTTGAGAGATGCTGGGCACCGGTTTTTCCTTGTGTCCAGTGAAGTATAAACTGTATACCATTGGATGCTTTCTCTGTCCCCTTTGTTGAGCCTGGTACAGGTCAGGTCAGCGTCAGCCACCGCCGCAGCGTGTGGCGGTGCTGTGGTTCTGCTTGCTCACAAAGGAATAAGGGAGGAGCTTTGGGAATCTGGCATGTATAGTTTGGCGTGTTTCTCATTCTGAATGATACAATGTAAATTGTTTTAATATTGGGGTGGTTTTAGACCAAATGGATTGAACCGATTGGTTCTCACACAGTAACCGTTCCAAAAGAGAATACACAACACGTTTTTTAAGAATTAAATATTTTAAATTTGACTAGATTTATATAAAAATATTATCAACAGTTATACCTCTAAAAGTATTTATTATTAAAGTATAGTCTGATATTAATTTAGTGATGTTTACTACAGATCATAAATATTCATATTTTTTTAATATATAGTTAGTTAAACTTGAAAAAATGTTTTCTCAAAAGTGAGACGTGCATTCTTTTTTGTTAGCGTATTTCATACGGGCTGTAGTTTATAATATATAATAAAATAAAATAAAATTTATTAAATCCGCAATGTTTATTGCTACTAGTGGTATTAGTTTTTTTACGATAATGATACGCCATGGTGTTAGTCCCGTCCGGACGGACCGCTCCACGCGCCCCGCCCACGTCGCCCGCGCCGCTGGGTCCATGCGCCCCGCGCCACACCCGTCCGGGCACCATTGCTCGCTCCCACCGTGCGTCCTCATCCACCTTGCCTTCCACGGAAAGGGAGGCAAGGGAGGCCTACGCTTGCACCTGCTCCCCCATCCACCTTGTGCCGTCGGCAGGAAGGGGAGGCTTGCGTCACAGCAGTTTCCCACCAGGTAGGCTGTGACCGCCAACGACATTGTGTTTAAGTGTTTCGGGCGTTTTCATATATGTTGTAAGCTTATGTTTCAAGTGTTTCAGACGTATGTTTCAAGTGTTTTATCTGGATATTGCATATGTTGATATGGCTATACATACATGTTTTCAAGCATATGTTTCAAACGTTATTAGATTTTTTTCATTTATGTTGCAAGTGTTTCATCTGGATGTTACAAAAGTAGATCTGGATGTTGCATATGTTGCTATGGCTATACACGCATGTCTCAAGAGCATGTTTTAGTGTTTCATCTGTTTTTATGTTGTAAGTGTGTTTATCTAGATGTTGCTTATGTTGCAAGTGTATGTTCCAAATGTTTCATATGTTTTAGGTGTATGTTGAAATTATTTCATTTGAGTGTTGCAAAATTAGATCGTAGGTGTGGAGGAATCCTAAGCCCTCAGTGGTCCAGCTGTTGTGGCTCCTTGGTGTGGCGAAGATGGAGGTCGTGGACACAAGAGCGTGCGGGGATGGGATGCCACGACGGATTGGGCGGGATGTGGAGCGGGATGGGCGTGGGCACAGTGCATCGGGCGGGATGGGACACAGACCTCCATGCGGCGTGCGGCGGGCACAGGCGCGGGAAGCTCCGTTCGGACGGACTGCCTCCGGGAGCGGTGATGGGCGCGGGGCATGCATTGGGTACGGGTCTGGGCGTGCGTCGAGCGCGAACGCGGGAGCAGCATCCGGACGTCCGGCCGCTAGTCGCTCCATTTTTATGCCTACTAGTGGTATTATATGGGACTTGCTAGCGCCTGGACGTTTGATCCGGGGCGCTAGCATCAGGTGGTACTCGCTCAGCGAGTGAGTGAGCACGCCAGTGCGTTGAGCTTGCGAGCAAGCGCCCTAGCAGCAGGCTCATGCCACCCCAGACGTCGCTCGCGTCGCCCCGGACGTCGCCCACACCGCCAGCAGCTTCCCACGCGCATCCCATGTGCAACAGTTGACCTACTTTTGAAACATCCATATGTAACATTTGCAACATATAAAAAGAAGACAGATGAAACACTTAAAACATGCATTTGAAACACTTGCAAAAACACCTAGAAACACTTGAAAAATATTGCAAACATATGCAACATCTAGGTAAAACACTTGCAACATATGTATAAAACATCTAAAACACTTGAAACATACACTTGCAACATGCATGTATATGCAACATCCAGATCTACTTTTGCAACATGCAGATAAACACATTTGCAAAATACGTCTGATATAGATGAAATGTTTGAAACATACGTGCATAGCCATTGCAACATGTGCAACATTCTGATCTACTTTTGCAACATCGATACAAAACACTTGCAACATCACTCTGAAACATCTGAAACACCTTAAACATACGTTTGCAACATGTGCTTTTAGCGCAACATCTCCATGCTGCCTGGGAATGGAGGCTCGTCAGCTCGTAGAGTTCACCGGTGTAGAGCTCGTCGCTTTGGGGGAAGAAGGTGGACCTCGCGCTGGAGAAGGCCACGAGGCGAAGTGGGGCGCGGGGGAGATGGAGCACGCACGGCGGGGGACACGGCGGGGATGGGGGAGCTGCGTGGCACGGGACGGAGGCGCGCACGGGGGATGGATGGAGCGGATGGCAGCAGGGCTGTGCAGCGCGGGCAAGAGCGAGTGGATGGTACAGTGTTTTCGGCCTGGGAAGCCAGCGTCCGAGCGGTCGGACGCCCTGTTCCAAGCATTTCCGCATTTTTTTAGAGGAACTAGTTGTATTATTACTTGCAGCACTGATTATGCTGTCTGCTGGGTTAGGCTAATGGGCTGAATGCTATATATCCTCATGGGCCGTGGGCCTTGCGCGAAACGAACCGGGCGTGGGTATTGGTATGTGAAGGCCTCGGGCCTTCCGACCCCCGTCGAGCCGCAGCAGCCATGGCGACCTCCACCACCACTCCACTCGTCGTCTCCTCCTCTCGCAGCTGCCTCTCCCCCTATCCACACTGCCACCCCCGCCACTTCCCCGGCAAGCCCAAGCCCAAGCTGCCCCCACCCACCACCTCCTGCTCCCTCTCCCTCTGCCTTTACCTCCGGACCGGCCCCCTCGCCGCCCTGCCGCGGCGCCCGCGCGACGTGTCGGCGGCGTACGGCGACGGCGACATGGACGACGACTTCGGCGACTTCGACCCGGACGACGCGGACGGGGTCGGCGAGGACGACGACGTAGACAACGAGCAGGACTACGACGTCGACTACGACCGCCTCCTCGCCCCCGTCGTCAAGCCGCCGCCGTCGTTGGGGCCGTCGACGGCGGCGCCTGGGGAGGAGGGCGACATCGCCATGGTCGCCGCCGACAGCTTCGTCTCCACGCGGGACTCCGCGTCCGATACTGTTGTTGACTACGCTGTGGATGAGGACGAGTTCCACAAGATAAGGCTTCTCCACTGTGACTTCCTTATCCGCAAGGTGCCCGACCCCGACGACGACGTCTTCGACTTCAGAGAGGTATAGGTAGCCATAAACCCATAAGCCATCCCCCTCATTGGTCAATACTACTTCTGAGCTGCTTAGTGCAATTTGTGACAACTGCCTGCGGCATTTCAATCTCACCAAACCTGCTGTCCATAATTATGCTTCTGGTCAAGTGCGACATTTCATCGAACACGTGCCTGCCGATGCTATCCAAATTGACAATCACATGTACATGTCTTCTGAGTCAATTGTGTGATGCACATTTGCTGAACATGGCATTTTTGTGCAACAGATGTATGTCACGCCGCCGGATACCGATATCTATTCCATTCCGAGGGTTCTTGCCCCGATGCCGCAGAAGGTGGGAACATGCGTTTCAGCTATTCTGTATGTCAGTTCAGATGAATGTGAATGTGCCCTGAGGTGTGATTCTTGTTTCTCTTGTTGGGATTAGTACGTGAGGTGCACGAAGAAAAACTTTGGCCGTTACCACGTGAGCGAGCCACCAGTTGAGCACTTGCGTGATCCCCTGTACAAGACAGAGAGGGAGATCATGAAGGTATGCTGAGAATCTTTTCTGCTCACTCTAGTCTTCTTTTCGCTGCCACCCCTATTATTCTCCTTTTCTGCCACATGCCAAGATGGAATGTGCTTTGCAAGTTACTATCCATATTTAGCACTTATGTGTAGGCTACTACTCATGTGAAGCTGATTTAGTGAAGCATCTTATAAAGCATTCGGCAGAGCTTTGAGTTCCTCATGAAGCAGATTATTTTCTGAACTTTTATATTGTTTGTTGTCCTAGCGGCGCAAATACTGTAGATCCTAAAACAGGAATATTTGAACAGTGAATTGCCTAGGTTTCTGCTTTTACTTCGACAAAATGCAATAGCATGATTTTGCATGCTAATTAGGAAGAAAGTGTAAATGCTGACATCTTACAACAAAATGTACTATCAGGGTGTCTCATAGCACCCTGTTAAATCAGAGAAACAAGACATATTACAGGCTAAGTTAGGGGATAGCACTATAGCAGCATTATATTGGGTGGCCCAGCTTGCACCATACTGAATTTATTTCTAGATTTCATATATCTTTGTTTCTGAAGACCCTAGATCCCAGTCGTCTGAACTAGAAATGTCTACCTATATTTCTGTATTATCCTGCTTTGCTTACCCTTAATCGGTGGGCTTCTGTTAGGACAGTTTTAACTCGATACTACCCTGGAATGTGAAGCGTGATTGTTAATGCATAACATGTTAAAGCTTTATTCTTATTGTTTATGTGCATTATTGTTTGACACTAGTATGGCCTTGTAATTTTTCATATCCATAATATGCTTTATTTTGTTTCATACTGTAGGTTTTCTTAACCAAACACTACAGAAACAGGCGCTCTGATGACCCAGATTTTTTCCTTGATTTTGAGGAGATTTATGTTATTGACTCGAAAACAAGGTCAATCACAAGAGCTAAAGTTGTGGTAAGATATTCCAATTCTAGTTTTTTAACCTATTCGAACAGTACTTGTTTTGATACATTTCAGTTCCATGAGCTGTGACATCAAGAATTTTGGAGTATGTCTCCATCGTTTTAATGATCTTTTAGAAAAATCTACATGTCAGCAAGCACAAAAAGATAGAAGAATATCTCTACTTTTATGTTCCTAGATCAGTGATATCCACCCATTTGTGACAGGTTAGTGTTCCTGAAGGAAAGAAAAGAGATAGGCGGAATGATCTGCTACTGATACGTGATGGAGGGGAATCTTTTAGAATTATCGACAAGGTAGTCTGATCTGTAGCCTTCTGTTTCATTGAAATGGGCTCCAGTAGTAATTTTGAGTCTTTTTGACTAATGAAATGATCACTGTATCAGACTAAAAGGGACGACGCAGCCACTGTCATCCAAAGAGAAGAGTGGGCAAAGTCAAGACAAGACGTGGAGAAGCATTTCAGGAAGCTTAGAGACTTTGACTACTCGAATTGGTTCTAGAAAATGATATGCTGTGATTGTGCCGTATCTACTGTTGATTCTCTTAGAGCTAGCCACTTGTTTGATCAACTGAGGATACAATTTTGAATTTAGATAGGTTCAGTGTAACACTAGTTATAGCAAGTATAACATATGGCATCTAGGGAGCATGTAAGCTAAAAATGATTGCACTACTTGTTGAGTAGCGAACGAATATGTGGCGCTTTTGAGATTGTTTCCAGAACTGTGGACTTGCAGTCTTTTTTCACGGTTGATGACGAGGGACGTGTTTTTGGAGCTTGCCAATCTTGCTACAAAACAAAATGTGAAAAGAGAAGCCAGAAAAAAAAAATGGCTCAAATTTTGTTGCAAACTGTAAAAAGAGTAAAAAGAAACGGCTCAGAAAGAAAAGAGGAAAAAAAATAAGGGCTGCAAAATGTGAAAGCAGAGAGTAAAATGTGAAAAAGAACTAAAGGGTTGCAAAATGTGAAAAAGAACAAAATTTGGGGTGAAAACCTGTTCAGAAGAAAAGAGAAAAAAATAAGGGTTGCAAAATGTGAAAAAGGTCAAAATTTGGGGTGTTGCGAGATTCGAATTCGCGACATCTTGCACCCGAAGCGAGAATCATACCACTAGACCAAACACCCATTTTGTATTCGGTCAGACAATAAATTATATAAGACTTTAGACTATATTTCGTTCAGATGATAATTTTGTTGGGGAATGTCCCATCCCGGGTAAAATTCTTTCCCTACAGATGGTCCCAATGCATATAATGTATATTATTAGCGCAGTAAAAGTACAACTGAAGTTGAGTACCATACAAAGAGGGAAGTAGACTATTAAAGCATTCATGGATCATAATTTTGCTGTGGGTGCCAGTGGACCCATTCCTACCTACCTAAAATTCGTTTCACCAGAATGAGCCCAGTGCAGAAATCCTGACCGATTATTACTTTAATTTATGTAAAAGTACAACTCGAATTGATTCCCATTCAAAGAGGGAAGTAACGAGCCCCTAGGGAAATATTGATGACAACGGGTCGACACCAAATCAACTCATTCTGTTATTGCCAGGATGGAATTTCGCGAATATTTTTCTCTCACACTAACTAGAAATATTTCACGAACCAGCCGCGCTCGACACCAATGTCGCACCTGTGCTTGTGGGTTTTAGTCGAGTGTGTTAATCTCGCAAGTAATATATCGTTATGGTTGTATTGAGAATGTTAACAAGCGAACTTCATCATCTATATATCACACATCTATTCATCTCCCACCATGGTATATAATTATACAAGTTTTTGAATTAGAATAAAAATATAATACTTAGGTGCTAAACCTGTTGTTAGCAACTAGACATAGATACTTAGTTATATGTGATATTTCTTCTTTCGAGCGCCCCAGTAGAGGATAAGGTGCATCCGTGGGTGCTGCGTCCACACACTAGGTAGCGTGTGCGGCGTCCACGGGCCACGTGGGTTCAACTGCCATCCCTGATTAAAGCTGGCTACCCTACCCATGGATCGATGATCATGCATTTGCTGCATATTTCAGTGCTAAAACAAGTACAGCGACAGGCATGGACGTCGTCTGGCTCTATGGGATATATATAGAGCCCGTGAGAGGCAGTCTGGATGCACGTACAGCTCACGCCCCCCCACGAGAGCTTGTTGTATGCATGTACACCACCTGCATTGTACGCGCTACCCAGGCCCTGGATCGATGATCAAACTTTAACATTTGCTGCATATTTCAGTTCTAAAATTAAATTACAGCGACAGGCATGGACGTCGTCTGGCTCTATAAATGTTATAAATTAAAAACCCGTGAGAGGCAGTCTGGATGCACGTACAGCTCACGCCCCCCAATTAGAGCTATTTGTTGTTATGCATGCTACCACCTGCATTGTACGGACCAACTAAACGTGGCCCTAGCCAAAAAAAACACTCAAGCACACACGCAAAGCAATCATCGATGAGACACGTACGTACGTCTAGCGTGCGTGAGATGGCATTCCTTCCTTCTCAGGACGCGTTTTTGTTTGCGTCACCATGCAAAGCTAGCTTAATCTCGCTCGTCTCGTGTACAATACAACATGCATGCAGCTTTATTATTTCTCTATATATATATGTACTCCATCACTATCTCTGCTCTAGCTTATATTAATCGTCATGCCATTGCTGGCGTTTATTATATCCATCTTCTTTAATTAGGCGACTGAAAGATACCCGTTGTTCAAATTGAAAGCTCAATAGCTTAGCAATAGCATTATTGGATGATTGTGAATGAAATGAAACCGTGTTGACGCATGCATAGTTTACAGATGATGGATCGACAAAGCAATAACTTAAACTAATCCATTGAACAAGATCATGAGACCTACAGTATATATTTAGAATGAAACATAACTATAGCATGATTAAGGACGACAAGATACGGCAATCGAGCAATTCTGCACCCAGCAATCAACAAACAGCCTGGTTGGCTGGTTCGTTTCGTTGCTGGTTCGTGAAAAAGTACTGCTGGCTGGTTTGTGTGAGAGAAAAATACTGTTCCGACTGAAAATTTACGATCGTTTACGATAAGTCACAGCCAAACGAACAGGCTGGTACTTATTAAACTAACTAGTACAGAACAAATCGAAGTAAGGACAAGAAGAATAAACTAGAGTACAACCTATCTGTGTCTTGGGATACTCCAGCATGATCATGTGCACCCCAATGATGCATGGATCAGTACTCAATACAGTACAGTGATGTCATCTACTGATCTTCAAATTAAAGAGGCAGAGAGAATATACATGTGTCTTCTACTTAGTCCTTGTATATATATATATAAAACCTCGAGCGAGCTGCTGCTTCCTGAAATCCTCACTGCAGACTCTGTTGGGAGGGAATGTGTGTGAAGACTGAAGAGAAGAGTGTAGCAGGAGCGTGGGGAGAGAGATGTCAGGAAAGGAGAAGAAAGCAGCCTTAGAAGAGAAACTCCAGCTTCTGCGCTCCGTCACAGTCAAATGCGGTAAATAATCATACTTTCCTTCCACTACAAACCCATTTCTGGATTCTATCATTTAGTTATTAAATTAAAGTAGAGAAGAAAAACAATAGTAGGAATCTTTTTCAGTCTCTCCGTTGGTTGGAAACTCGATGCGCGTGTTTGTTTTAAACATTTCTTTAGTTTTTTACCTTTCAAAATCTGACGATAAACTTTTCAAAAAAGAGTTCATATAAACTACTCAACATATATAGTCATCACGAAAATGATAAGACTTGTACTTCGTGCATATGTTGGTTGTGATTGTGAAACCCATTCGGCGGTGCACTTGACCGTTTCTGACACATGCCGAGACTACTCATTGATCGAGCTAGTTAACTGATGATCCGTACCTACTGATTTTTATTTTTTCTGAAAAGAGAGAAAAAAATAGCACATCTATTGTTCATTTCTATATGAGCAATGAAATGCATGCAGGCAAACAAGACGTCAATCCTGGTAGACGCGTCAAAATACATCAAGGAGCTCAAGGACAAGGTTGAAGCAGCAGCTGCAGCCTCATGGTCACAAGCTGACACTGACAGCAGTAGTGCTTTTGGTTCTGGAAGCGCCATGCCAGCAACGGTACGTAACGTAATCACATTGTTACAACATCTCAACCCCTAGATGATGATTGCCATTATATTTGCAGAAACAATTTTGCAAGCAACGCAACATATGCCTACATGTATGTATGTATATATATACATGATAAAACAATTGAACCTCTCGATCCATTGCATCATGCATGTCATGTTTGCACAGGTGAGCGTCTCGTCAGTGGAGCTTGATAGCAACAGTTGAAGGAGAGGCTTCCGGATCAACGTGTCGACGGAGAGGAGCCGGCCTGGGCTGCTGGTGTCGGTTCTGGAGGCCTTGGAGGACCTCGGCCTCGATGTCCTCGATGCCAACATCTCCTGCGCCGACGACACCGCCTTCCGCTTCCAAGCGCTCGGCGGATCAGGCCAGCAGGGCAAGCAGCAGCAGCAGGGGGGAAGCGTGGATGAGCAAATGGTTCAGCAAGCTGTCTTGCAGGCCATCATCAAATGCATGGACGATGATGATGAGTACTAAGACAGAAAACTGCAGAACCTGAAATTTGCCTGCTTCAATTTGGGCCTTGAAGCGCAAGCTTTATTGCCCAAGGAATTCGTGAAGTTAAATTTTAGTTTTTTTTTGTTGCTTATGATTCCACAGTGAAACATTACTTCAGGTCTTGGTAATTTGTAATAGTATTTCCTACCCAGATTAAGTATGGGATGAAGGGATAAGCAAAGACAACTGTGAATTAGAGTAGTATAAAGGTACTGTAGAAAGAATAAGACAGTAGCTTCAAGTACTGGAACTTCTCCATCAGTAGCAATATTGTTGTGGTCGCCTGTGTTTTGCAATGTGAAGGTGAAGGTATGACTGAAATTAAACCAATACTTGGATGAGAAATGTTTTTCTTTTAGAGAAAATGTTTCCCCCGCTTTATTTCAAAGAAACAAAGCGCACAAATCGTTAGAGTCTAGCACAATGTATTCGAGGCGCGTCCGCCAACATTATCTAGCTAGGTCCTGACTATGAAAGACTTGTATCGCTGCTATTTGATTCGAGTGTAGTTCTATAGAAGCTTGACTATCAGATGTTGTAGCATTTCCCAAGTTCAGCAATATCCCAATCCCATTTGATCCTCCTGTAGCTTTGGAGTCTGCCATCCAAATGATCCTCCGTGGCTCGCTTACCTTTAACTCCATTTGTCTTACCACCAGTTCCAACCTTTCCTAATCTTGTTTCTTGTACAGTGGACGCTATCTTCTTATCAACTTTATCGCCATCCTCATCACCCTTCTCAGTTCTCACATCTTGCTAGGCATCTTCCTAAAAACAAAGAGCATTTCACAATATCCAAATACTCCATAAGATCGCCGAAGAACAGACATTCTTAGTAAAAAGCGCTTTGGCTACAAATCCAAAATTTAGCTACTGATTCGAAATCAGAACCAAAGTTGCAATGTATGATTTGTGCTGCTGCAGTCTATGTAATAGATGCCATACAACACAATGCAATTTAGGACATCCAAGGATACTGCATCATGGATCGGAATTAGTCCGTCAGAAGCATCCATAGATCGGATCATCTGGGATCAAACACAAAGAAAGTACAGTACACATTTTTTCCCCTTTTGGTGAGTGACTACAGTACAGTACACAAACGATTAAACAGGAAGGCAAACCAAACGACTGAGAAGAGCCCGGAAGGAATAAGGAATAGCAGCAGCTAGCCTACTGTACACACCTGGTTTTACATCTGGTGAATCGTGCATCAGAAATCGTACATCTGGTTTTACCTTCATTATCAGAGCAAGTCCTTGAACGAATTTATATCTTCTATAACTAAATAGGAGATCCCCACTACAGTGTTTCTCTCGCTTCTCATGCTGCCACGTCATCAAAATTTCACATCCCTTGCTCATGTCTTGATTGCTTCAGGTCTCCACTACGTGGCCACCTGATCTTCTCCACTAAATACACATAAAACTGCTAGAATGTGGAAGGATTTAAGCAATCATTCTTTAACATACTTGCTCTGAAACATACGAATTCATATCCACCAAGGAAGCATTCAATTCCATATGTGCCTGTGGACAAATGAAGGATCATCGCGTGCTGCTCTACAATCTCGCTATTCTGCCATCCATATCCATATATATATATCGATATATCGATGACCCTGGTAGCCTGACCGCCTGAAACTGAAACAGCTCCATGACAACAACCTACTACTTGAACTGTCATTCGAAGGAAAACAGACATAGCGAGCCTGAGACGCTGCTACACTACTACAGAACTGTAATCACCGCCGGCTCCAGAACCCCCATTACCGACGGTTTTGGCCCCGTTGGTGTAAGTCGGCGGTGATCGGCGACCTTTATCTCCGCCGGTTGCGCGCCAGCAGTGACGGTTTTTTACCACCGTCGGTCCTGCGTACCATACGGCGGTGACGCTATCTTACCACCGCCGGCCCGGCGTACAATCCGGCAGTGACAATATGTCCTTCGACGCCGGTCCGGCGTACCATCCGGCGGTGATGATGCTTCCATCGACGCCGGCCCGGCGTACCGTTCGGCGGTGATGATGTAACCATCGACGCCGGCTCGGCGTACAATCCGGCGGTGATGATGTAACCATCGACGCTGGCCCAGCGTACCATCCGGCGGTGATGATGAAACCATCGACGTCGGGCCGGCGTACCATCCGGCGGTGATGCTGCAGCCATCAACGCCTAGCCGACGTACTATCCGGCGGTGATGATGCAAATATCAACGCCGGGCCGGCGTGCCATCCGGCGGTGACAATGTGCCTATCATCGCCAGGTCAGCGTACCAACCAACGGTGATGATAGACCTATCGGCGTCGGACCAGCGTACCATCCGGCTGTGATGACGAGAACATCAATGCCGGTCTGGCGTACCATTCGGCGGTGATGTAGGTGCCATCGCACGCGGCTGGTGTTCCCTCCGGCGGTAATAAGGGGCAGCGTCACCGCCGCCATTGTGTTTGTTCTAGCAGTAGTGTTTTGTCCATTACCGCCGGTGTTACCACTGTGCATCATTATTGTTCACAATACATTATAGCACCAACAAAACAGAAATTTCATGGCTTACGCATCGCCAACAACATATATAGACAGAGACAATGTATTGTATCCAAACATACATCACCACCGAGACACAAATATCCATACAAAACGACATCGACAAACCTAGTTTTCAAATACTGGCATCGAACAACAGCGAATATATAGTTTTCAGAACACTAGCACCTTGATTAGAGAAGGTGATGGACTCCCTTGGGGTTCACGACTTGGTCTATAATGAAACTAGAAAGATCTTCTTGGAACCCAGATATCTCCAAATCGGTCAGCTCCAGTGTAGATGACACTTTAGTCTGGAACACAAGAAAAAGGTGAAACATAGTTAAGAAAAGCTTTGCTACACACTCTAAGTATGTCGCGAGGTCGTCCAAATTTACTAAAGAGTCTGAGGGGCCAAACCTGTGAGCCAGAGAGAGCATTGATGAGGCTACGCATGTAGTGCATGACATAGAACCCGCAGAGATCATTGCTCGCAGGCTGCATTGGGATCGAACCGGCCGATACTACTCGAAACCTAGATCTGCCAAGCTCATGATGTTTCTTGGACCTTGACTTCAACTTCTCGTAGGCCTTGTGCGACAAGTTCATGACAGCGACATAAGATGATCAAAGCTATGTAACAAATAATCTTATCATTGCCAATGTAGTAGTAGCTTGTCTTACTTGTTCAGCGCCTCAATGAAGGGATGGATGTTCTCTAGTTGGCTCCCTCGAGAGTCGTAAGCGTTGACAGTGCTCCTCTCTACGCTGATGTCAAGAAGGACATGATGGTCATCGCTGCATTCACAACGCCACCGCCGGTTCCAATTAGATTCAACCCTCAAATATGTAATGGAGTAGAAAATTAGGCAATTGCAACAAACTTACACGTAGTTGTAGGATAGAAGTATGCTGCGGGATTTGTTGAGATGGAAGCTCTTTGCCAATTCATCGATGATGCTGGTGTACTTTAGTGTCCCGTGATTGCATACCTCTGGATTCAAGAAGCCTATTTGAATCTGTTGCGCACTACAGAAGTCTGCCTCCTTCCTACAAAACAATGTGTAGTTGTTAGAAACTCAACTCGGAGCTATAAAATGCATGGTGTACTAACTAGACTTACATGGTCCACAAGCTCATGACATGAATGTCCAGGGCCAACTTCTGGTAAAATTGAGACAATGCCTTAAACTGAATCCACAATGACTCTTCTTTTCCCCTGTACAACTATTAATCCAAAATTCTTGCCCCAAACTGAACACTACGTTGACCTTTGTACCAATTACACACCTCCCGCCCTCTCGGTCCTAATTTTAGGACTTCTCTGGGAGCCACCAGATCACCCCAAGCCTGAAACTTCCATACATGTGACGCCTCCTCTCTATCCCGCCGAAGCTCAGCATCTGGAAGTTCTTCCTCTGTCATTGCATTTTCTTGCAAGTTCTGAGATGGTTGAGTTGTAGTCCTAGTAGATGGACCGGTCTTACGAGTCTTAGGTCATAGCGGTTCCTCTGTCAATGTGTTTTCTTGCAAGTTCTGAGATGGTTGAGTTGTAGTCATAGTAGATGGACCGGTCTTGCGAGTCTTGGGTCGTAGCGGTGATGAAATACTTGGTTCCCTGTTTTGATGCGAGTCCTCCGAGTCTTCGTCATCCATATCATCGTTGGATTCAGAATCCGAGCCAAAGGATATGTAGCGCTTGTGCCAAAAAACTTGGCAACCCAAGTTCTCCCCTAGTGTCTTCCTATCCTCATCCTCTGGGTGATCTAACTCAACTAAACGGTACCTAGTCTTAGTTACTGCATCAATGGTCACCTTGGAGTACCCTACAGGCAATTGATGGTTCTAAGCACATCCCCTGCTTCGCCACAAGGATAGGCAAGACCTATGGCCACCTTGATCTTATAGAACTTCTCTTGCACGTATAGGTTGCAAGGTCTTGGCTCCGTGATCTTATCAATGGGGAACGTGAGATATGCATCGTCGAGAGGAAGCGGTGTGCTTGCACAGCTACTCTGTACCTGGTCTAGGCTGATGATCCTGACCTCGGCATCCTCATCTGGTGCCAAAGGATGGTTCATTATTCTCTCCTCAAGCTCTTGACGTAAATGTTGATTGTTTTCTTTTAGTTCTTGTTGAACAGCCTCCATCAAACATTGCATCTCCAATTCTTTTTGGGCATTCCTCCTCATGCGACTTCTGTACGTGGAGATGTCATCTGGGAAGGAAAGCTCCCATGGAATAAGTATGAACCCTCGTGTATGACCAGGATGCTCTTTGTTCCCCAGTGCCTGGGTCAGCTGATCATTCTCCCTATTAGACTTGAAAGTACCATTAGCAACTTCCTCATGGACCACCTTCACCCTTTGTGCCAGTTCGTCAGTTGCAACATCCCGATAACTTAGGGAGCCATCTGGGTTGAAGGTAACCCCTAAAAGGTCCTAATATGGCTAGAGGGGGGTGAATAACCTATTTAAAAATCTACAAGATCACTAGAGCAATTTGATTAGTATGACAAACGGTGAAATGCAAACTTGCTCTAGCTCTATAAGGGTTGCAAGTCACCTACCCAACAATTCTAGTTACTATGATCACTAGCACACAAGAGGCTAAGATGCTACTCACTAAGAGCTCACAAACTTGCTACACTAAAGAGCTCCACTAGGTGAACTTAAGCTACAAAGCAAGCTCTTAATTCTAGCTACACTAAAGAGCTTGCTACAACTAGTTTGCGGGAAAGTAATAGAGTGAGCAAGGTGATTATACCGCCGCATCGAGGAATGAACCAATCACAAGATGAATTCCAATCAATCATCGGGAGAAATCCAAGCAACAAGTGACACCAATTTTTCTCCTAAGGTTCACGTGCTTGCCGCGCATGCTAGTCCCCATTGTGTCGACCAACACTTGGTGCTTCGGCAGCTAAGAGGTGTTGCACAAACCTCGTCCACACAATTGGACACCGGAAGAACCTACCCACAAGTGAGGTAACTCAATGACACGAGCAATCCACTAGAGTTACCTTTCGGCGCTCCACCGGGGAAGGTACAAGACCCCTCACAATCACCGGAGCCAGCCACGAACAATCACCAACACGTGCCGAAGCTCCTCCGCTGCTCTAACCTGTCTAGGTTGTGGCAACCACCAAGAGTAACAAGAAATCCGCAGCCACAACGATCCCCAAGTGCCGCTAGATGCAATTACTCAAGCAAATGCACTTGGAATCACACCCAATCTCACTATGATGATAAATCAATGATGGAGATGAGTGGGAGGTGTTTGCCTAGGCTCACAAGGATGTCAAGTATGTCAAAGTGCCAAGAGAGACACCCCCAAGATGGCCAAACACTATTTATGGATCCCCTCAAATGAATAGAGCCGTTAGGGTCAAGAGAGGGGGCTCTGCGCACTGACCGGACACGCTGGTCAGGATGACCGGACGCGCCCGCGCTAGTGTCCGGTCGTGGATCTCACGCCATGTGTCCACACTTTGAATATTATGCGTCGATCTCCAACAGTCATCTCTCAGTCACGCGAATGGGTAAGTCATGACTAGACTCGTCCCTTAACTGACTGGACTCATGGCCTCCGTGCGTCCGTTAAAGTCCAGTAAGCATCCAGAGCCTGAAATCATCGACCGGACGCGTCAGGTCAACATCGACCTAACGCACCCTAGCATCCGATCAACACTTCTTCTCTCTACGCGCGCCCGCGAGGCTGACGTCAGCGTACATTGCATCCGACCTGACGCGACCCCTACGCGTCCGATCATGTTACATCGCCTCCTCCGAAAAGGTGACCGGACACGCTGGTGGAGCCAGCCCCAGTGTCCGATTATTCCTACTCGCTCTTGGCCAGTTAGCGCCCTTTCGCTATAATTGACCGGACGCGCCGGGGTGAGTCTGGTCACCCCGCGGCCAGCGTCCGATCATGGACTTCCTCTCCTTTTTCTTTTTCTAAGTCCACAACTACTTCGCCCTTGCTTCCAACTTGCTAACCACAAAGTGTAGAAATTGTGTGCACATGTGTTAGCATTTTTTAAAGCATTTTATAAGGGTCAAAGTTAGCACACTAGGTTCATAAATGCATATGCAAGAACAATGTCACTTAGTGGCACTCGATAACCACTTAGCCAAAGATTTCCCCTCTTTATAGTATGACTATCGATCCTAAATGTGATCACACTCTCTATAGTGTCTTGATCACCAAAAACAAAACCTATCTTATACCTTTGGCTTGATCTCCTTGGTTTTGTTTTTCTCTTTCTTTTTTTCCAAGTTGGAGCTTGATCATCTTCATTTCATGTCCACCTTCATCACCATGGACCTCATCTTGCTCCATCACTTGAATTGGACCGCCTTGTCTAATTCACACACTTAGATCAAATGTTAGTCCTAGGTTTCATCAATTATCCAAAACCAAACTAGGGCTTTCAATCTCCCCTTTTTGGTAATTGATGACAACCTATTTACAAAGATATTCAATGAAATCTTTTTGGATTCATGTTGCTTGCCCAAGCATATTACCATGTGTAAAGGTTATGGACAAGTTTCATCAACCCAAATTGGTAGTATTAGCTCCCCTACATATGTGCTAAGAGTTTGGATTTGAAAGCTTGCACATATGCATGGATTGGGATGGTGCCTGCACATCGAAGATGCTGGCGACATCCAGCGCGATGACAGCGGTGGACAAGGTAGCACGGCAGGATGCCTGACGGTGATGAGCCCCGAACCACCGGGAGTGCTGCGAGGCCAAAGGCAAATGGGAACAGAAGCTCGACATGGAGACGCGCTGCGGAGGGCGTGGATGGGGGACTCGGAGTTTAGGGTGACGAGATTGGTGAGGCCAAGTGTGTGCGGGTGGAGAAGCCCACTGAGGGTGTTTAGTGGGGCGGCACTCCAATTCAATGTGACATGACAGGGAGTGTTGGGACGGTGCCTCGAGAACCACAATCGTGGCTGCCTTGCCGTGGGTCGCTCCGGATTCCAAACCGGCATTGTTTTGGGCTGAGCCATCCAGATCGTGTCCAAGCCACAAAGCAGTGCATAGCTAGACAATACGCCACTCAATGGATAACATCACCGATTAGCTTGTCAAGACAATCCAAAGCAGGACGACATGTGCACCAGATGATACGCAACCAAAAAATGTGACACGATTAGGGCACCCATAATGGCTAGCTCATAAGCTAGCTCTAAGCATTTTTTTTATATTTTAATAAAATAGAAAAAATATAGCTCTTGATCAAGAGCAAGGCTCATACACACATTCCAAGATCATGTGAGAGTGTCATATGGACCTAATCATACTATGAGCCATTGCTAAAAGCTAGCACTATTGGAGAGGTTGGCTTAGAGCTAGTAACTCACTTATACCATTGTGGGTGCCCTTAATACAATGGTCAATTTTGTGAAGTCGTTTTGCATAAAATCTTGGTAAACTCATTGCACCATCCTTGGATCCAAACATAAGTGCAACGCAAATACAATAATGATGCCAAAGGAAGCTAAACATTCATTCTAGTAGGAATTGATTGAAGCACAACGACCGGATGATACTCTAGTGAGTGCAGCGCAACTAGCCCAGATGATACGCAAGCGACACAAGTCAATCTTGACAGACTCAGCTTATTGCACCATCCTTGGATCCAAACATACTATGGCAGAGCCACCCAAAACAACTGACTTCCGGAGGCACTTGTCTTCCACTTGACACTAAGTACCCTGAATGTGAGCTAGATCAAACCGTTCCGTCGAGCACACCCAACGGGAGAACTCGAAACAACCCACATTTTCCATCCAGGATTCAATAATGAATACGAGCTTACAATACTTAGTCCATTTCATACAACATCGGGTCTCAAAAATTATTTATTACAATACCAGGATTCAGAGTGTGATAATTAAACAGCGGAATAAAATAAACATCTAACGGAGCGATACAAGGATCCGTATGTGCCCACCAGAAAAATCCTCCACACAAGAGCTAGCTTCTCAAGGTGCACCTGCAACAAGGGTAAATAAACCCTGAGTACACAATGTACTCACAAGACTTACCCGAATAGGGAATATATTTCCTGACTCTCACGGAATATGATGGGCTGTATGGCTTGTGGTTTATTTTGTTTTGTGAAAAGCATTACAAATCGTTCGTCCTTAAGATCAAGTTTTATTAGCAGTCACTTTACTTCATTAACTAACCATTCTTAGATAAGCACATGTACTACTTTCAAGCAAGGGTTGAGCAATCAGAATCATTTCATCATCTTTCATATTCCAGTTCTTACTATAGTGCTGGACCATAGCCAAGTCGTACGATCATGTAGAAATGGTGATTCATGAATCAATGTAGCCCAGCTGGGTACCTCAAAAAACACACGCCTCGCTTGTACCCTAGGCACAAACAAGACCAACCCATTCCCC